TATTTGGGTTTGAACAACTTTGTCAATGATTTGATTCTTTTGAAGTCTTAGCCACAAATCATACCAAGTTTTCATATTCATTACATGATCAATACTTGTTTCATGCTCCTTAAGTCTAGTGCTAATGTGTGACCAATCCCCAAATCCATCATTTGTTAATTGACCTTTTATATGTCTTTTTTTAAAGATTTTACAACAAAAATAAAATACCTTATCAAGCTCTATCGAATATACAAGCCAATCTCTATCACATTTCTCCCCATTTGATAAAATTCTAGTATACCATGTGGCAGAAAAGCGTTTAAACAATTTATCTTTAGGACCTTTCTGAACAGACAAATCTCTTTTAGGACCCTTAACAACTAACACATCAATCATTTTAGAATCTAATGCATCCCAATTTCTTGGATCAAATATATCAAAATGAATAAAAACATCATCAACATTAGTAGCATCATCACTATCAGGAACATCATTAGAAGCATTATTAGCAGGAACATCATTAGAAGCATTATTAACAATAACATTAGGAACATCATTAGAAGCATTATTAGTATCAACATTTGTAGCCAAATCCTCATGTGAGTCATTTAGAGTGCCAACTAAATTCACCATGTTAGGATTTTCATTAACATCAACACAAGCATCATCCAAATCAATATCAATATGTTCATTGTCATGAGAAGATGGACCTTCTTTTATAACAAACTTATCAAGAGATCCTTTTTGAGATTGAATTATCTCTTCAATTCTTTTCTTCTTTTTACGTTTTTGACATCCAGAATCATATTTTCTAACCTTAGAAGACATATTGGATAATTGGAATTGAAATAAGTAAAAGGAAAAAGATAAGGAACAAAACAACCTGGGTAAGGATGATAATATTATTGTTGCATATATTGCTTGGTCCTCCCAAGTCTCAATTCTCAAGTCCCAATAGATGAACCTAAAAAGAACAAAACAGTAAAACATATAAACCATAAAAGAATAAAGTAGTAAAACTGTAAACCAAAAAACAGTCAGGCAACCAGCAAGAAGAACAAAACTGTAAACCAGAAAAGAATAAAGCAGGAAGTCTAATGCAGCAACAAGCAACCAACAAGAACAACATATCCTGTTTTTGGCATTCTTTGTGTAGTTGTGCCAAAGCATTTCAACATATCACAATTCACAATTCACAATAAAAATAACTGTTATGACTGAAAACCAGTATTAAATTGTATTCGTCTTGAAAGTTAAATATTGTCTATAATTGTAAAAGTCATCGTGTTTGACTTTTCTTATAGGAGTTTGACTTTGACTATGTTTAGTATTTTGACCCTATAAATAGGGTGATGTCTTTGTAAATATAAGAGAGAGCTAATTTGTAAATATGATATTACGCAAAGTGAAGTTTGACCAAAGCTCTGAATGTTGACTTTCTCTCTCAGATATCATCATATGTGTTTTTGAAGATATATCTTAGATCTGCCATATTTATGAAGCTTTCATGAAGATTGATCACTAAAGGGGACTATCAATAACTAAATAAGCTTCATTAAAAATTTAGAAACTTGTAGGAATTCCTTAATTTAGAGAATCTTGTATACTTTATCTCACCTTTAGGATTTAGGAATCAGTCAATTAGGTTAAAATCGAGTAATCGACCAACCAAGTGACCAACACAGATGAAATTAGCAATAAGAAATCGAGTATTCGAGTAATCGACCAAACCAATCTTGAGATTATGAGATTTGAGAATAGGAAAATAGCAATCTGGGTAACGAGTATCAACTAATCGACAAATACTTATACAAAATCATCTAAAATCTTACCGTTGTTTTTGTTGTCATTGCAAATCTAAAACCGAATCATTAGCCATCTTTGGAGAATTCAATCGACAAGATAGAGAGGAGATAGGAGATCGAGGCGTCCGGTTCGCTCAATAGCTTTCTTTCAATCGATTTCTCCCATTCATCGCTGCTAATTACTCGGCTTGTGTTAGATTAGGTAGCGTATACAATAGGTGGGCCTGTGAAAATTGGGCCCCAACATTTTGGGGGCCCTGTTCTAAATCCCATATGTAACGGGCTGAAGGACGGGCCTGCCCACTCCCCTAAAAAATTTACATTTCCAATTGAACATATTTACTCCTCTGTCGAGATGACTATTAATTTCCCAAAGGTGCAAGATTGGTTCATGATAAAACACAATGATTCTTCATTCTTGCTCTCCATTGCTCCTCCATCTCAGTCCCAAAATAAGTTGGTTCATCTGACTTGTAGAGCAAGATCCATTATGTCTCAGCCTGACTCAAAGGTCGATCTCTGGATTTCTCTTCAAAATAGTCGATCGGTTGTTATAAATAAGTGGTTATAACAATAATGAAATGATTAGTATTTGAATTTCGTCGTTGTTATATTACTTGTTTTAAATCTGGAATTCGTGTTTGAGATTATCACGGTTGTAATGTGTTTACGTATATAATAATCTTTGTTTTCTGGTGACATTGAGTTTACGTGTAATAGACCGATGCATAAGCTCTGTTGTGTACTCGAACGAAATGTACATGTTATGGTTAGCTAGAAAAGAAAACTATTGGGGGTGTTACATGATGTTTTGATGTGTCCTTGTTATTTGGAATCGCAATAATTTGTTTAAGTGTTTCCCGACAAAGTAGCTACAAAATTTGTGAATATTATTAATTATGTAACGATGAACATTGTTTTCTCCATTAATATAACAAACGTTTGATTTCTTCCTGTTTCATATCTATTTTGATTGGTAACAATAGATTTGTGATTATTGATGATATAGATACCAAGTAATCAAGTTATGTCGTAATTCATGATAATTTAGAAAAAAATGTCATGTCAAAATCAAACAATATCACGTTAGCTTAAAGCTTGTTTATCGTGTAATGATTTTTAATGGGCACGAAAGAGAAATAATTGAATATTTGTTATATTAACTGAGAAAAAATAATCCACCGTTATACTAAATAATAACTAAAACAAAGTTTGTTACATTTTGATGTATTTTGTCCTTGCAAAAGTATGTATATTTTTAGGGATGCATTTAACGCACAGATTCTACCATAATGAACTCTTTGGTAACCAAGTTGTTTGTATAGCGTCTGATAATTTGGCCAAAACAAACACTTTTAAGTTACCAAATTATTTACTTTTTTAATCATATATCAACATCTCCAATAATTTATTCGAATCTTCCACAGATTTTCTATTTTAAATATTATAATATTAATTATATCAGTAAAATATTGTCAATTAATTTACTTAATCACCCGACAAAACTTTCTAATTAATTCAAAATTATTTAACGCATCTTATACCTTGTTTAAAATTTATTAATCGTCTATCTTAATTTTATTTCTGTAGTTTTGTGTTATTTTCATAACGCAAAAAAGTCATCTTAGTTTTATCTTATAGTTTTGAATTTTTTTGTTATAATAACTTCTAGACTTTAATTCGATACATTTAATATAAAATATCATATATTTAAAAATTTTGAATTCATAATCGTAAAATAACACTGTATTTTCACATTTATTGATTGTTATTATTTACTATTATTATATATTAACTT